GGTCAGTGCACGGCCAGGAAGATGGCAGGTGGGAAGGAAGCTGGCCGATGACTAATGTGGAATTGGTCTGCCTTTTCCTTGCTGGCCTGTAGACTGGGCCGTGGCTTTAGGCGGCCTGTCGATGGGCAGGGCAGCGTCTTAGGGAAACCTTCAAGGAAAAGATCCTCACTGCCCTCAGCTGCTCTGGCCGGAGCAGAAACGCCTGCAGCGCCGGCATTCCTAGAGGCTGCTGCACCCTCAGCAGCTATCTCCAGACCTCTGGCCAAGGCCAGGCCCCTGCCTGCTGCAGGCTGCCTCCTGCAAGCTGCAGAGCAGCGGCAGTGCTCAGCCAACCTGCATGTCGGAAACCAGCCCGCTTGGTGTTGCGTGCTGCTGAGCAGTCCAGGAATGGAAAACAGGCTCTGTGGACAACTCTTCGTCTTCCACTCCCCAGCCCATTGCCTCTAAAACCAAATAACCAACCCAACCAGCCCTGCTCCCCCTCCCACACTCCCAAAGCCCCTGGCCAGCTCTCAGATACGTGGGACGTCACCATTTTTTGCACAACAGCATGGAGCCCACTTACAGCCATCACTGGGCAGTGGCTGTTGGAATCAGTTTCTAAGAAGCCTTTGAAATTTAGGAGGCCAACGTTTTTGGAGGACTGAATGGGCACGCAGAAGAGGAAAATGCCGATGAACTTCATCGACCGCTGGTTGTGTACTTGGTATAGGCCAGGTGCCCTTGAACCTCATGAGAGCCCTCTGGGGTGGAGCCCATTGTGACCTGTGTTGTACCTACTGAGAACAACATTCTCCTCACCAGACCGAGGGGCGACGTCACTTCCCTTTTCTCTTTCACTTAGCAGGTCTTGAATTCCAGCTCAGGGCTTTAGTCCACCCAACAAACCAAATGCCACTTCCAAAAAAATACTCTATGCTTCTCAGGGTGCTTCTCACTCCAGCAACTAACGAACTCTCTTGAAGGTAATAAAAAATGTGCCACAAATCAGGCATGAACTAATCCTTCCCTTAAGTTTTGCTCTGTCCTTCCAAAGCCCAGCAGTGCAGCTGTGCCTGCCTCGTCTGAACCCCCATTCCCACCACCAGATGGAAGAGGCACATTGTCAGGAGCCTCCCCCGTCGCTGAACTGCTTTGCACCACTTCCCCTTCTATGTGTGGATCTTCTGCCAACTCATTCATTCAGTTGCCCAAGAATTTCAGAGAACCTGAATTTCTGGCATTAGGGCAGTTGCCCCTGCCCACAAGGATCTTGAAGTCTAGTGAGAAAGATAAATAAAAACAAAATAAAAATTACAATACAATATAACCATAGCATGCCTTTATAACACAGATTCCAAGAGAGCTCTTGGAATCTCTTGCTCTGCACTGCACTGCAATATTCTCGAAACCAGAGCAGTGCCTGGCCCACAGCAAGCATCCAGGAAATAGTCACCGAGTGAGTGAACAAATGAGTAAAGGAAGGGACAGCGCATGCCATACAGCATATACCCCAATAACAGCTACAACATCTGCCTGAAGATAGTTGTAGCTACTACTTGTGAAGAACTTCCCAGTGCTGAGCACGGCGTTAGGCACTTGGCAGGGGTAATCTCACACCAGCATTGCCACGACTACCGCATTACCACAGTGAAACCCTTACTCCTTCCATTCTGCAGATGAGGAAAGAGATGTGCAGACAGTCAAGCTCAAGGTCCTGTAGTCAGTAAGCAACAAACCAGACCTGTCCCACCCAAAAGCCTGTGTTGCCCCAAACCATTAGGCACACAGTGGCCCAGTCTCGAAGGGCCAGGGCATGCTTCCCAAAGGACAGAATAATGGGAAGGGCCCAAAAGAAAGGTTCAAAGAAGGACGGTGTGCAAAGGCTGAGGAAGCAGACCGAAGAGGAGATGAAACTTTTTCCAGTGAGAAGACTGCAAAGAGAGTCTTAAGAACTCTCTTCACAATTGCTGACATCCTCTCTACTCAGATGTGAGCACTTCAAGGGAAAACTCTAGGAACTCCACAGAGTACACTCAAGCTCGGCAATTCCATTGTGAAAGTGATTGGCTCCCGCCCCCAGCAGTTTTATATTCAGAACTCCAGAATCCGCAACTTGTAGAGGGGGGGCCAGGGGAGGAGCTGTGAGCAGGAGCCACTGCAAGCCCATCTCTGTCTTTCCCAAAGAGAGGAAAAGTCCTCACTTGAAGACATGCAAGGACAAGAATCCAGTGGCTTGCTAAAGCAGCTTCATAAAGTGACCTACCAATTCCACACCAAAATCCCAAACTTCCAATCCTGTTGCGTCTACTGATTCAAGAAATTAAGAAGCAAAGTTAGGATCACGCCTGACTACATTCTCAAGAAGATAAAGTAAATGCTGCCCTTCTTAGTTACCCGTATGGACCCTACCAGGAAACCGTTTTGATCTTGTCAACAAACACGAATTGAGTATCAACTCTCTATAAGGCATTGTTCTGTATTCACTGAGCATACCATGGTGATCCATGCATCCTAGTGGGAACAAATAGACAAGAAAAGAAAAGAAATGAAAATTAAGAGCATTTCAAAGAGGAATGAGTGTTGCAACAAAAATGAACAGGAGGATGGGCTAGAGAGCGAAGGGGGGAGGATGGGCGCTCGAAGGCCTCTGAGCTAAGACCGGGTCATGGGGATGAGGCGTGCGGGAAGGGCGCGTCCTCAGCCGGACAGGGCACGAGGGAAGACAGCAAGAGTAAAGCCCCAGACGGACAAGAGCCTGGTGTGCTTGGGGCAGGCAAGGCCATTGTGGCTCAAGCACCATGAACGAGGAGCAGGTGGAACAAAATGAAGATGAAAAGACAAAGAGGCATCAAGTCAAATAGGCCACTGGAAATATTTGGGACAATGAGATGCCACTGGAGGCTTTTAACCAGCAAAGTAACATGAACTGATTTTTGCTTTAAAAGGCTCCCTCTGAATGGCATTAAAATGAACACACATTAATCATACACCATAGTGAACGGGTCCCCACTTGACCCGGCACATGACACAACAGAGGCCGTCTAATACAGATAACTTCTGCGCATGCCAGCATCCACCAGAGGCCCCAAAGCAAGTGGAAGGTAACTCTTGGTGACCAGCTGCTTGGGCTTCTGAGAACGTGCTTTCAAACAAGTAAGACCACTTACTCTAAAATTCAACTCTCCCTCTCCCTTTGTCATTCACTCCACAGAGGAGGGTGAAAGTAAAGGTTTTATGCCCAAGGCTCGCAAATCTTACTGCTTCTAAACGAGTCCTGGAAAGAGACAGAAGGGCTGCGTTTGGGGGCCTGGGCGGAAGCACAAACACATTCCAGCTGAGCACTGAACTGAAACCCCAAGACTCAGAGAGACCAGCAGTCCAAATCGATTGTCGAAAGCCTGCTGATCACTTCGCTGGTCTGATGTGATGACTGAGACCCGCCTGCAGGGGGATACAGAAGTCAAGATGGTAATACAGACGGGTTCAGCTGTCATGTGCTAAACCACCTATACAGCAAAACACCAGTTCAGCATCCAACACCTCAAAAGGCAACCCACAGGAGGCTGTATCTGTAGCAAGGCCATGCTGGAAACCTGGGCTAATCTGACTCTGCTAGTCATAAATTCTCCCTCATGTTAGAGCACATGTGTTTGGGAAAGCAAAATGAATTCAAGTCAATTTTAGACATCGTTACTTGGAAGCCATCTGGAGTCCCTGGAAGCATTAGAAGTCACCGCATGCCCTGCCCTCAAATGCCCACTGTAACTAGGGCAGTGTGCTTACACCGGAATTCAGGGTCTCCTATTCCCCAGGGATGTCCCCACCCTCACCCGCACCCTACGGGATGCCAGCTCAGGCTCCACTTCCCACCCAAGATAGGTATTTGGTTTCTTAGCAGACCTAGTGGAGAGCCCTCAAGGTGTTGAGCTTGCACTTTAATTGCACCCCAGGCTGGGTTCTCTGTTTTCCACTGGCTGTAGAACTGCACACCTGAATTCCTTTGCCACAGCAGCTACAGAAATCCCTCTCCAGGGGCAGAAGATGGATGAAAAATCCCCCCTACCTAACAATCCTGTGTTCAGAGCATGTCTGGTTTTGGAAGAGACCCACCAGAATCCTTATGTAACATGCATGTATGTTGGCATCCCGCAGAGCTGCTCCTGGAGACACTAGCCCCGATGCAGCCCAATTTCACTGTGGTGGCAGTAGGCTGGGTCGTGCAGCTTCCTAGGGCCTGGCTCTTTCCGACTGACTGTAGGGACTCTGTCCCCCTCCCCTACCTGGCTGTGATCCTCTGCTTATCTCATCTTCCTGAGTCGGGCCTCCCGTTCTGCAGCCTCTCTCCCTCCACTGAGAACAGTCTTAGGACCAGCTGACAGCAGCGCCATTCTACCAGCACCAGCACTTTCCCTACCCCCATCCACCTCCCCACCCCCCGCCACTTCGGATCCTCTCTCCACCACCTAATGCCTTAACAAACGTAGCCAGGAAAGAGATCCAGAATCTTGTACAGTCATAGTCCCTGAAAACAAACACGGCAGGAGGGAGGGAAGGCTCAGGTCTTCCAAGCCGATCAGGCCCAGCACTTGCCCTGGACCCCTGAGAAGCCCTCAACCCGGCGCAGGGGAGGAATATTTGGGGAGCGACTGCGGCTCGGCTCCCTCCAGCGCAATCAGAGCAAACACCTGTTTCCAGGAAGCTCTGTGAGCAAAGGGAGCCGGGAGTCCCGGGAAAAGGCAAGGGAGGACGAGGTGAAGGGGCAGTTGGGGACGCAGGTAAGGGATGCGTCACACTTTGCGCTTGGCAACCGGAGCCCGGGAGCAGCAGGCAGAGCGTGAGAAGGACTCCGAGGTCTGGGAAGTTCAGAGAGGAGGGGTCGCGCCCGCGAGTGGCACCTCGAGGACGACAGCCAGCAGGGAAAGAAGGCAGGAGGCCCGACGGGCTCCAACACCTGCGCGTCCCAGCGAATGCAGCCTCGCAGGCGCGCACCGGCCCGCGGCTGCCAGCGGGTGACCTACCTGCCCACCGTCTGGTTGGCCAGCTGGCGCATGCGATTGAACTGCTTCTTCATCGTGGCCCCGCTGCCGCGCTAGCCCGGGAGCAGTGGAAGGACGGAGCAGCCCGGAGCCCACCGCAGGGTTACATGGCTCCCTTGCGGAGCCTCCCCGGCGACGGCGGCGGCACTGCGGAGCCTCCGGGAGCCTCTGGCCCGTGCGCGGCTCCCTCCCGAGGGCACCACCGCCTACTCCTCCTCCCGCCGCGGCGTCTGCTGCTGCATCCTCCTTACGCGCTCCGCGGCGCCTTCATAGTAAAGCCCGGGGTCGGCTAGAGCGCCGTCCAGGTCGGCTGGGCTGTCCACCCCCAGCCCCAGTCCCGCGCTGGGACCCGGGAGTCTCCGCAGGCTGGCTGGCCCGCTGGCCGGGTGGTCCCCGCTGCGCCTGTGCGGAGGACGCCGTGCATTCTGGGACTTGTAGTTTCGCGCCCCCCGCGCCCACCTTTCCTCTGACCAAACTTTGCAAGTACAGTGGGGTGCGGAGGTGGGAGAAAGCTGTGTCCCCAAGGGCTTTGCACTTTAGCATTCTAGGAAGGAAATGTTTTCCTGCATTAAAGAACCGGGGATACAAGAGCAAAAAAGAAAAAAGAAAAAAGAAAGTGAGCATCTGTCTTTCGCTGTATTTTAAGTGGATGTGAGGCATTGCTGTTTTGGATTCATAGGAAGATTTATGCTAGAACGTACATTGCTCATAAAATTGCATAAGGTCACCTGATTAATGTTGAAGCGCAGGGTTAAGCTTGGGACACAGGGGTTGACGGGCAGATTTTAAATCAGGCATGGTATGCATTCCAGAAGTTTGAGTCTTAATTTTCAACAAACCTGACAGGTAACCAGAAGCCAATATAGAAGGATATAATCGCACGTCTGGGCCAATTTGGCTAGGACAACTTCCATGAATGGCTTAGATTCCAGTCTCATAGCTGATCACATCTCCCGTCTACTCCAGGAGACCAGGTAGCCTCTGCTGTGACAGGTCTGGAATGTTCTACGCAGCAGCATCCCATTGACATCTGTTGGCTCTCTGAAGAGGGGTCGTAACATTCTGCAGGCTCTGTCCATAAGAAAATGCAGGTAACTGCGGTTAGGTTTGTCATTGCCTATTAAGTAAGAGCAGTGCTGTTGGGTGGCAGGGGCTTTGGATCAAACAGACAGGAGTTCACATACTAAATACCAACTGTATAACCTTAGGGAAAAGTTGCATAATCTCTCTATGCCTCAGGATTCTCGCCTCTAATTGAGAAATAATACCGCTTAATAGATGGAACAGACAACTATTTGTTAAATTACCAATAATCTAGTAACATAAATTCCTATGTAGTACATTGTGTCATATTCACTTACTACAAATACTATAGTTAGCATAATCGAAAAAATGCTATTCCTACAACAGAATTACTGATCTGATAAATGAAAGAACTTTTTTGAAATAGGATATTTTGCATATGTTGATTATAGTTGCAATGTGTCCTAAATATGGTTGTAAGTCTCCTGCTGGCCAGCTGAACAAAAGATGGTTTGAGGCATGTCTTGGATGAATGAACATAAAATCTTTAATTAATTGTGAATTTAGCCTCTGCTTATTAGGTCAGGCAGTTCTAGCCAATTAATAAGTGAAAGCTTTTTTTTTTTTTTGGTCTTAAGCAACTATAATGTCAACTTAATTTTTACATGAACTGAAATTATTTCCATTTTGAGATTTTTTTTTTTAACCCAGGCATAGCATGAAGGGCACTGTGTGATTCCTATAACTGCACTGTCCAAAACAGTAGCCTCCAACTCCATGTGGCTGTTGCAAATTAAATTAATTAAAAGTAAATTAAATTTAAAACTTGGTTCTTCAGTCACCCTTGCCACGTTTTAAGGAATAGTCACATGTGATTACAGGCTGCCATGTTGGACGGCATTAGCCTTCATGGACGCTGGCAGAGAACTCCAACGCCATGCCAGCGTCTGCCTTCAGTCCCAAGATATTTCTCTTCTAGAAGGGAAATCTCTGCCCCTCCACAGAAGATAGCCCACTCTGGTAGGGTGCGACCCAGTGGTATTTTATTAACGGATGGCTTCTGCACGTAGTTACTGTTCTCCAATAATCTTTTCCTTTATTTAGGAGGCAGCCAGCGCTGTCTCTGCTTCCCACCCCAGGGAAGGGATGACAGTGCAGAAAAAAAGAGAGAGAAGTGTCATGTCAACTCTTCATCTTTCAGAGCAGGCTTCAGAAATGCATGTGAGAGGGAAGGGTTTTGGGTTTCAAGAATATGGGCTTTGAAATTTTAATAGACTATACCATAAATAGAGTTTGAAGAATATACTATGCTGCCTATTCCAGATGAAGAATCCACAGGCTGTGGGGTATTGCAGATGAAGAGAGACAAGTGGAACAGGAGAGAGGGAGAGGAAAAGTGAGTGATAAATGTGCAGATTTCATTACTGTTCATTAATTTCGCTGCCTCTCCCTATGGGAAAGGATTATACCTCATCCACTGAGGTCAAGGTCGACCCTGTGATTTTCTTTAGACATAAAAATATGCACAGAAGTGCCTTATGCCACTTCCAAACAGAAGTCTTAGGAGTCACTTTGTGATCCTGCCCTGTTCTTACCCTATAATGATGAGCTGGCTAAGGGGCTGCTGGGAAGCAGATTTGTGGCCATCAAGCTGCAGTGAGAAATATACTTTTGTTGCTGTACTTGTAAGTTTGGGTTTTTTTTGTTTGTTTGTTTGTTTTTTGTTACTGCAGCATAATTGAGTCTAAGCCAACTACTGCAGTGGGTACCTCTGAGAAACTGGCCTGTACCTTGCACCTTCCCATGGTCAAAACTTGGGTTATGGGCAGGCAGATTAGAGACAAATATGTATTTGGGGGAGATCTGAACACAATGGAGGCTCTTTATATCACTTCTTCAGTGAAGGCTGGGAGTGGCAAAGCTCCCAGACATCCTCTGCCTTCGAAGACTTAGGAGCATTGAAGATGTCCACGTGGAGTGCCCAAAGTGACTACAGCACAGTCCTGTGGTGCCCCAGGCCTCCCTGCACCAGCCCTGCGCACTGGCTGGCATGGGGGCGTGCCGAGACGGTACACAGAAGAACCTGGGAGGGCTGGATGGGAAAGCTCTTGGGATCACATAGGACGAGAAGGCAGCTGTGGCCACGATGTGGAATAAGTAAGACGTGAATTACCTGATATTCAATTTCTTCCTTCAGAAGAATAGACTAAAATTAAAATTAAGTGCATTTGAGGGATGAGTAGGAAAAGGAGGACAAATAAAATTCTATTTCTTATACACCTGACTTTGACAGAGGAGAGGATTACACTTTATACTTAAAGGTTGACCTATTGACCTTAAGTTTGATCGCATGACTTGCTTTCACAAACAAAATGTAGGCTTTTTACTTGCTTCAACAATGTTGTACTATTTATTTGAGGAAAGCTTCCAATGAAATCTGCTCCTCCATTTAGAAGCCCCTCAGAATGGCTTTAACTTCTTCATTCTGAGTCCGAGCATTCTTTAGAGCTGCCCTATCCAACTCAAGAGTCACTAGAAACATTTTGTTATTTAATTTTAAATTAAGTGAAATAAAATTAGAAATTTGTCTTCCTCAGCTACACCAGTCACATTTCAAATACCCAATAACCATATGTGGCTCATGGCTACCATGTTAGACAGTGTAAAATAAAACTTCTCTGCCATTACAGGAGGTTCTGTTGGACAGTGCTGGTCCAGAGAACAGAATTTGGAATACAGGGTCCAGCACAAGGGCAAAAACTGAACAGGAGGTGACAAGCTCAGTATGACTATGGTCAGTCATTTTGCCTGACCTCTTCAGGCTACTCCTTCCTCACCTAGTATAAGGAGGGTTATAGCATAAGATCACTAAGTCATAAGTTTTGGGGAATCAACAAATTAACCAGTCTATTTGCTTAATAACTTGCTATTGGCCTAGATATCCCTAAGCCTTCCAGTATTTAATATGTCCAATATAACATTCAGCGCTACACTGTAACTGAAGGATATTATTACCATTTTCAGGTTCCAATTGCTTTTATACCTGCAGGTATCGAATTTCCACCATTAAAGCATATTTTTAGTCTGAGGTGTCTTTTTAAAAAGGATGATATAAGTTCCCATCTTTGGGCATTATCAACTCCAATTTTTCAGCCTCATCTTGGGCAGAATTTATCTCCCTAGTGACTTTGGACTTGACCACGTGACTGCCTTGGCCAATGGCACATGGGTAGACGTGACATGTGCCCCCTTCACACTGTGCACTGAGAGGCTTCGTGCATCTTTCTTTTCTCCTCTTGCATCTCTGCCGCCGCCGTGAGAAGAGCATCCTCCAGGGGCTTCCTTGTCCCTCGCCTTGGGCTCCAGAACACACCCTGGTGCGGCAGGACGATACATGCCACAGCTGAAATTAAAGGAGTAATTATTGATCATTCACTTGAGCCATGGTTATTTTAAAAGATTGCTTATGCTTTAGATCTATGCACATAGATCTAAAGATGGAGAGAAAGGAAAAACAAATACAACTTTAGGAATGAGAAGTAAGGGTTTAATCACAGATGGAAATAAATTACAAGAAAATACTTTCATAATTTTATATTTACTTATTTTAAAATCAGCCCTTTTACATTAGGCAAAACATAAATTACTACAGGTGTTTCAAAAACAGGTAGCAAGGATTAGTAGACCAAAAATGTTGAAGAAGCTGGAACACTTGTCAAAGAACAACATTCCTCAAAGTAGTCTGACCCAGATGGTTTTATGGAGAGCTCTGTCAAAGATTCTAGGAACAGATAATTCCTCTGCTATTTAAAGTGTCCCAAAGCACAGAAATGAAATGAAAGCAGCCCATTTCATCTCAGGAAATGGCCAAACCTGCTACCAAACCTGGTGAAGACAGCACAGATGCAATACCAGCCCACCTACGCCACTCCTAAGAACAAATGTTAAAATTATTAATAAAATTAATTTGCTACTAAAATGTTAGTGAACAAAATCTAACAATTTGTGCATTTATATATAAAGGTGCATATATTATAATGGTATTGATTAAAGAATAAAGAACTCAGATAAATTAAAAAATGGAAGCCATGCGTATTCTTAGTAACCAATATAACATCATGAATTTACAGATATATTTTTAATATGTGATCACACTGTTGTTGGGTCAATATTCTTTCCTATCTTCTGTTATTCTACATAGCTCTGTGATTAACATGCTGGTGGCTAAAACTTTGCACATATACTTATTTCCTTAAGATCCAACATTGAAGAATTAGAATTACCATCAAAGTGTGTCACGTTTTCAAGCTTCTTGTTGTATTGCCAAATTATCTTCTAAATTAAAATGGAAATATTTTG